GATGGCGGAACAGCAAGAGTGGGACTCGCGCTTGCCAAGAGGCGTTGTTAGGACACTGTTCCGTTTCAGTCAGTGTTCCGACACAGCTCCACGAGCGCTTGCGTACTCGCGATTCATTGAAGCCGACTGAATCGCGAATCGCCACTCTCAAATTTGACGAGCAGGATCCAGCCGTACCAGGATATGGATTGGACACACCCTGAGGAGACCCCCGACAAGCATCATCAGGCAGGCTTTAACGTGGAACCCACAAGGAAAGCGCAAGAAGGGAAGACCAAAGATGACATGGAGGCGAGCGGTACAAGTGGAAATTGAAAAAGCGGGGACATCATGGAAACAGATAGAAAAGGATGCTCAGGACAGGCTTCGCTGGAGTAATGTTGTTGATGGCCTGTGCTCCACTGGGAGTTAAAAAGGGCAAGAGAGAGAGCCCAGGATAAAGAAAGGGGGAAAGTGTTTAGTTCGGGGCCTGTACCCTGGTGCAGGGTGAGAGAGGCATTGATGATGATGATGACTTTTCTTTTCATATTGAATTTTAATGAGAGTAATATATGGTTTAATTTTAATGTATACTTGCATGTGTTTTTACTGTCCTGTACAGCCAAGAAAAATTTCCCTCTGGTACAATAAAGTATCATCTCATCTTATCTTATCTTATCTTATCTCTTATCTTATCTCTTATCTTATCTCTTATCTTATCTCTTATCTTATCTCTTATCTTATCTTTCCTCTTCTTATCTTATCCTATCCCATCTTATCAATGAATGTCAATGTGGGTGGTTGGGAGATGCTACTGGTAGGTCCCACCTTATTTTCTTGTCCTCTTTTGTGTGTGTCTGTCTGTCTTGCTTTTACTGGTGCCTTCGATGTTGCATTTAGGCTCTTCCTCATGCTGGAACCCTCCAGTTGAAAAGTTATTTTATCTTGTCTTTCTGCTGGGATATCGTATCTCATTCAATTTGGATCAAACGTGACAGACAAACAATCGAAGCAGCTCTCTTTCTGAATGTGAGGCATTGTGTTGTGTTGAAATCAGGCGCTTTTTTCAAATAATGAAATCGAAGAAACAGGCATTTTTCTACCGGTTTTACAATTTTATTGAATTTCTGTTTTCAAGATTAACGCTTTATGTCCATTTAAAAACAAGTTTTTGTGTTGATTTTACTGAAAAATGTTCATTCAAGCACAAAAAATGTACATTTTCAGTTTCCAGGGATTCTCAAGCTTTGGAAGTCACTAAACTTTGGTGGCCATTTTCTCGCTAATTTTACCTCTGAAAACAGGTGACCCTCCTCCTTCATTTACAAATATCTCGACCTCTTTTCAAGATAAACGCATACTTTTTTCATCGAAATCAGGACAAACAAACAAGCTTTAAGATGATTCCAATAACTTCACATGATCAAAACTTGACGAGCGCCTCGTTCCACCGCGTCGTGACACATATGATGTTTGATGTGTTGACGGGGCGTAAAACATTTACAATGGAAAAAAAACCCCCCAAAAGATGGAGCAAAACCTCATCAGAACACCCGCTAATTACCCACATACTTTGGTCTATGTCATCCCACACTAGATCAAGAAAGTAAAATTAAAGTTTTTTTTCTTTTTTTCTTTTTTTCCTCCTCAGCTTCAGCAAGATGTGGACCCAGGACTAGGGGAAACGTGTTCGAATCTCACCCTGGCTCGTCTGCGGGTTTGGCTGTTTGATCCCCTCAAACGTCTCAAGTGGCTGGCCGCACTGGTAGACATCTGTAAAGGTTGGTCTGTGTGTCTGTTTGTCTGTTTGTTTGTCAGTCTTTCTATTTCTTTCTCTGTCTCTTTATCTCTGACTCCTTTTCTCTCTCTCTCTGTCCCTTTCTCTTTTTGATTCCTTCTCTCTCTCTCTCTCTCTCTCTCTCTCTCTTTCTGACTCCTTTTCTTTCTCTCTCTCTCTCTCTCTCTCTC